GTGCAAAAGTAACATCAACAAAAATGTGACATGCTTGTTGTCTGTCAATTAACAATTTGGTTTCATTAGTTGACTTCAAAGAAGAGGACAATCACCCACCCAAGTGATCACCTTTCTATTCCTTTATCTTTTTCTTTTTTTTCTTACAAGAGATAAATTTGTCTGTAGTTTGAATAAAAAGGTTGGATTTTTGAGTGCTCTCCAATTTTCTGATGCAAATGCAATTCCTAGCACTCAATGAGAATCAAGAGTTCTACATTGTGTTCATCATACATTTTACTAGAAAGAGAGCTACAACTGATGTGGGTTTGTCCTAATTTATGCTTGTCACGTCTGCGAGTGTTTGTTTACACCTCTATCTCCGTCCCTTCTTCGTCTAACATGCCAAGAACTTCAAAAGACCACAAAGTAAAACGCTTCAAGCAACAAGTTTCTAGATTCAAACTTCCCAAAGCGCCATGATAGAATTAGTATCATACAATATAACAAAAATACCCAAACAGAAGTAATAAATGAAGAAAAACTCAGAGCTGATCGTTTGAAGACTGTACATAATTCCATGAACTCATTTCTAATGAATCTTTTGTAAATTAAATATTCACCCAGCTTTTGGTCTGATCTCAATGCCTTGAATAATGAGACCCCACTTCCAGTATCTACCCTTCACCTCCATTAAACTAATTTCCACATCCCCATCTTGTTTTCCCTCCACCAAAAACTCTCCCAACTCAACTTCCATCCATCCATCTGTCCTCAACTTGGGGTACTCGGCACTGTGATCTATCGGCACATTGCCATGCCACCACATATAAAAACTGGGAGGCTGGCGATGATTAACTTGTGAATACTGATATGAGTGCATTCGTGCTACGTTTATATCAAAGCAGACAGTTCGTTTTTGACCATCGTGTCCACTGATACCTACCGAAGCCTCAGCAGGTTGGTAATCAAATCCGTGAAATCCTGATTTCGTGCTGAAAACCATATAAGCTGAATATTTCGTTCCTGGAGATAGCATACTAGCATTTATCTTGCCACGAACTTCAAACCAAGTCACCTTAAGAAGCTCTGCTACTTCAGGGAATCTGAATTGAACATGCAATGAACCATCGTCATTCAGAATAATAAATTGAAGGAAAGGATACTTATTATTCTTATGCAGGTAGTACCTGGACCCGGGAAGTGAAATCCATGCCCAATATTGAGGTGTATCACCCCACACAATAAAGAGGTCCCTTGCAGCCAGCATAAAGCACTTCTTCCCGGTCCCTTTCTCCAATGAAAAGCTCTGCAATAACAAAGAACCCATAAGATGCATTCTCAACTCGAAAAACTACAGCCACGCTACAATTCCCAGATGCCCAGATGGTCAAAGTTCTAAAGTTAATAGAATTGTTATTTCTTTTTAAGTTCAACTCGCTCAACGACCTGGCTTTGATATTGACAGTCATGGCGGTTGAGACTTGCACAAAAATCCGACAGTTTATGGGATGCCATTCCGGAGTTGAAGGAAGATGAGGACAAAATTCAATGAACTCCAGCTATAGAATCCAAATACAGTAAAATTGACTGGTATTGTACTACCTTGGTGCCACTGTCGATGATGATAGGGTTATCACAGAGGTGGAAATAGAGCTCTTTCTTGGAGCGAAATTTAGTGAGAAGCGAATCAGGGCCGTCAATTGAGCGGGAGATAATATCAACATAATCAGGCGGCAAAAACCGCTCCCAAACCACATCAGACTCGGCAGCTGAACGAAATGTGGAGGCTACCAAAGACAGCCGGCAGGCATCCTTCGGGCTTGTCAATGACAGCGCATTGGCTATACAACCCTCCGGCAGTGCGTTGAAACCACGGCAACTTCCAGACAGCATCGTTTTTCTCTCCCTACACGTCATCTCTCTATCTCTCTCACACACAATATGTGTGTGTTAAATGTACTGACTGATCATGTATGTTCTTGTTAAACCTTCTATGTATTTTCTAAAAAATTCTTGAAAGAGAAAAGTAAATGTGAATCAAATCTTTGTTAATACCATTACTTAAAGAATCAATCTTTATTAAAGTATCAAGTTGAGAATCAAATAATTTGTTATGGAAAAAAAAAATGATGATGCGTAAAATGTCAATATTTAATTGGACAACAGCTACAGAGAACAAATTAGAGATACGGCATCTAGGCTCATATATTAATTGGTCACTCTGTTACTTTGATTAAAAATTATATCCACCATAATAGCTGTAACACATTCACGGGGACTAATGGCCTCCATATAGAAGCCGATTCTTTCGCAACATTTCTAAACAAAAAAATATATAGGGTTTGGTTTATAGGGAAAAACTTGGAATTTTAAAGTTGAATGTGATGGTTTTTCTCTTACGAATGCATTTTATTTTGAAAATCTTTAATTTCACGAAATTGATACAATTATCATTAGTCGATCTAAAGGTTTAATTGGGTCGATGTAAGTTGCCTGGTTCCGTAGCAAGTAAAATTGCTGAAGTTAATTGGTTGCAGGAATACTCTTTGTAAGATTTGCATCTCTCTTTATGGAGACAATGTCGGATCCATCCGCCTCTGCGCCAATACTATGTTTCATTCAAGTTAAGTGGCAAGAAAATTATTACGACCAAAACATATCATAAATAGCTCATGCAATAAACTAATAAATCCCTAAATGCGGCTCAAAACCATAAACTTCCTCCTTTAGTCCATAACCATACCCAGCGGCGGAGCAA